CCCTGCTGGTAATTCCATGCATTGTTTTAGCTGTCGGCTTTTCCTCTCTGAGGAAAAATACAAAAGTAAAACAATCTGGACAACTGATGGCATCAGAAAGTGGAGCACTGCTCTTGAAAAAAATCAAGCAACACTCCATCACAGAGATGCACATGACAAGCATGGTTCGATGGACCAACTCCCAAAAAAAGCTCCTCCAGTCCGCATTTGATGTTTCAGATGTAAAGAGGGTGGAAGTTAGAGAGCGAGAGAGGCAGGCAAATAGGGAAATCCTGACCAGATTGATTGACCTCACAGTGTATCTTGCACGTCAGGGACAAGTATTCAGAGGTCATGATGAGAGTGAGTCCAGCGACAACCGTGGCAATTTCCATGAATTGGTGAATGTGTTTGCTCGATATGACAGTGTCCTGAAAATGCATTTGGAAAAGGTTTCGAAAGCTAAAGCCACCAAGACTAGGCCCCAGGTGTCACTGCTTTCCAACAGATGCCAAAATGACATCATTGCAGCACTAGCCACTAACATCAGAAGGGAGATAAACCACGAAATAAAAGAGGCTGAAATGTTTTCCATCCTTCTTGATGAAACCTCTGAAATCTCACACAAAGAGCAAGTTACATTTGTTGTGCGATATTTACATCATATGAAAATCAAGGAGCGGTTTATTGAAGTCTGCAACGTAGATTCCACTACAGGCCAGGAGCTGGAGAACACTGTGTTCTCCCTTCTCCAGAAAAATGGCCTAGAGCTTAACAACATGTATGGCCAAGGCTATGATGGAGCAGCCAACATGAGTGGCATGTACAAAGGTCTCCAAGCGAGGATTCGTGCACACAATGAGAAGGCGCTCTATGTGCACTGCAAAGCCCACTGCCTCAATTTGGTACTGGTGGAAGCAGCAAAGTCCAGCAAACATTTTGTGACATTCTTCAACCTGGTGGAGAAATTGTATGCGTTTTGCACAGGCTCTCCAAAGCGCCATGCTGCCCTGGTCAAATTTCAGGAGTCCTTGTATCCTGGACAGCGTGTTTTGGCATTTCAGCAGCTGTCAGATACCAGATGGGCTTGCAGGGAAAAAGCCCTGAAGGCACTTCAGAGAAATCTGAAAGCTGTTTTTATGCTCCTTGATGACATCACTGAAAGTGACTCACATAACCTGGCCAGAGGTGATGCGCAGATGTACAGAAACACCATCAACTTCATGTTTATTCTGTGCATGGAGATCACCACCCCAGTATTCGAAGTCACTGCTATGGCATCAAATTCTCTGCAGAAAGAAGGATTGGACCATTCCACAGCCCACAAGGTAGTTGATGGTGTTCTTCACACAATGAGCTCCTTGAGGTCTGAGGAGAAATTTGCAGAAATATTTGGATGTGCAACAGAAAAGGCAGAGAGTTTCAACATTCCAGTACCTACTGTGGTGCCTGGTCAAGAGAGGAAACAGAAAGTGCCAGTGCGTTTCCAACACAACCCAACAGTGTCTCAATTAGGAGCTCAGTTTGAGTCAGTGGAGGCATATTTCAGGAGTAGCGTGTACTTCACCTTCCTGGATATTATGACTGAGGAGATGAACAGGAGATTCAAAGGGGAGAACACTGGAAGCCCTACATCAAGAATCATTGAGTCATTCCAGCCCTTAACTGTACATGCTAACTGGGTAGGCACACCAAACACAGAAGCCATGGAAGCTGTGCACATTCTCTGTGAGTTCTATGGAGAAGATGAGGAGCAGCTTAAGACAGAACTAAAGGTCTTCTACTCCAGCTTTACTTCAGAGAACCTACATGAAATATGTTTAATACTGAGGGAAAACCATGGCCAGCTGATCTTTCCTGCCTTTGTCAAAATGATCCAAATATATGCAACATTACCAGTGACGACAGCTTCAGTTGAAAGATCATTTTCCAAGCTGAAAATCATCAAAACTAAACTAAGAAGCCTGTGTGGAGAAGAAAGGCTCTCTGACCTTCTTCTGCTTGCCATTGAAAAAGACATTGAGGTAAAACACAGCGAGGTGATCAACATCTTTAAAGACATGGCACCAAGGAGGATGCTGCTTTAAAGTAGTACGCTTTTTTCCATTGAAAACTCATGTTTACAGAATGTTACAAATAAAAGTCAAATTTCATTCAACATGCGTGTGTATTTTTTTAAAATAATTAATTGTTCCACGTGTGCTAAAAAGTGCCCCCTCCCTCCTGAGCACCTGCCCCCCAAAATGTCTGTGCACGCCTCTGCCAGAGGTGATGCTGAGAAACTAGTCCATGCATGTGTTACTTCAAGGCTGCACTATTGTAATTCTTTACTATCAGGAAGTCCACAAACTGTAGTTAAAAGCCTTCAGCTGATCCAAAATGCTGCAGCCAGAGTTCTGATGAAAATGAAAAAGAGAGATCATATCTCTCCTATCCTGGCTTCTCTTCATTGGCTTCCTTTTAAATCCAGAATAGAATTTAAAATCCTCCTTCTCACATATAAAGCCTTAAATGGCCAAGCTCCATCTGATATCAGAGATCTGATTGTTCCTTATGTTCCTAACAGAGCACTTCGCTCTCAATCTGCAGGTTTACTAGTGGTTCCTAGAATTTCTAAAAGTAGAATGGGAGGCAGATCTTTTAGTTCTCAGGCTCCTCTCCTGTGGAACCAACTACCAGTTTTAGTCCGTGAGGCAGACACCCTGTCTACTTTTAAGGCTAGGCTTAAAACTTTCCTTTTTGATAAAGCTTCTAGTTAGAGTGGCTCAGGTTATCCTGAGCTATCTCTATAGTTATGCTGCTATAGGCTTAGACTGCTGGAGGACATAGGGACCCCTTTTTCATCATTCTGCTTCATTCTCTCTCTATTCTCCCACTCTGCAGAATCTGTTAGTTCAATCTCTAACGTTCATCTGGTCTGTTCCTGTTTGGCTGTGACTCCATCCTGGAGAGAAATATCAGCTGTGCTGCTGCCATCAACACCTTTGTTTCTAGATGTTGGAGCTTGGCCTGTTTTCCAGTGTAGTCCTGTTTCTCTGACTGTGACTAACAGGATGTGCTCTCTTCATCCTCTGACATGGGAGTTGACTCATCGCTGTCTGAGGTCCCAACTTGTTATTTTTGTAACTGGAGACTCACGTCTAGCTTAAGGGAAATGGGGAGAAAATTTGCTGGCAGAAACAAATGGAGAATTCTGCATTCACTCTTACATAAAACTAGTTACTCTTGAAAGTTATTAGGCAACTATATAATTACCTTTTTAACCCCACTGTTAGCAAATTCACAAAAACTTTTTTTCATAGGATTTATCTTAGCTACATTATACAACATGTCACTTTGGCAGGAAAGCAATGTTTGTTTAAAGCAAATAGATTCCATGATTAAAACACTACGGGCAAAGTAAGATAAAAGATACAAAAATTACAAGCATAACAGGTTCCACAAATTAAACACAAAAAAGTCCCACCCATCAGACGTATACTTTACAGGACTGACTAGAAACATGATCATGTGAAAAAACTTCACCTGCTGGTGTTGAAGAGGAAAGGAGAGAAAAGGGCAACTTTCACCTTTCTGTAGCTCCTTATGAGAATGAATATCTAATCTAACAAAAACTTTGACTTCCTATATTTACAATGAGATTCAAACTGCAACTGCCCAAAAAATGGAATCAATTCTTCTTCTACCTCGTCCTTTCTGTCGTCCTTCTGCTGCTGCTGCTTATGGCAAGAACCAGGTGAGTGGAAATGACCAACTCTAACTACTTCAACATGTATTTAAAAAAAAAAGAAAGAAAGAGGCTTGGCAGGGGTTACTATTAATACGTTTTTCACTGTTACTTATGCTTTTATGGAAGCAAATCGTTACCATATTATGCTTTTTCATTTTAAGAATGTGGCTGCATTGTTTGACTCATAAATTAAATTAGTAATCAATAATCCTATTTGCATTTTCATTTTCTTCTTCAACACTGCTCATCCTTTTACTTAATTACAATTAAAAAGAAAAAGAGATTTGAGATTTATTTTTCAAAATGTACCCCAGCAAATACATACCAAAAATCAATTTAAAATGTAAAATTTAAAAATGAAAAAGTATTTCCAGAAATGCTTTTTCATTTTAAGAATGTGGCTGCATTATTTGACTCATAAATTAAATTAGTAATCAATCATCCGATTTGCATTTTCCATAATGCTTTGGGCTGCAAATACAACAAATACAAAGTTAGGGAGGATATTTGTTTAAATGAAGCGTTGAAATCAGGTAAAGAAAAGGCTGCTGTGTCCTGGTTGTAGGTGATAAATTATAAACATGGCTTCCAAAAAAAGAGCATTTTTGTTGTGTCAAGAGGTGAGAAGGACATAAATATTTTGTGCTTTTTGGTGGGTAGAAATGATTTATTGTTTAACTTCAAAACTGGAACTTCTTTTCCTAAATCTGCATTTAAAATTATAAAATTTCCAACTTGAAAATTTTTCAGAGAGCTTTGCATCAGAACCATTGAGTGAATCTGATTTTCCAAAAGAAATTTAACTAAATGGAAATTTAAATTATGTTCAGCTCTTAACATCAGGTCTGATCAATAACTTTAAGGCGTCTGCTAGAAAGCGAAATATTTTTGAGAACCAGGAAATTTATGGTTTAAGCCAAAAGAAAAAAACAAAATAATAAAGGAGAATCTGAATGACCTCCTTTATTATTATAATACCGGTAATATAATAAGATAAATAAATGTCCTGAGAATCTTGTCTTAAAAAGGTCTTGGAAACTTTCTTCCCTTCAAAGATAGCTGACGGTTATTGTGATTCATTCTAATATTAAACTCTTCATGCGCTCCTCTTGCATAACTAAAGGAAGTAGGTAACAAAACTCACAATGGAAAAGTACAGAAATGAAGCCTGAGTAAATAAAAAAAATTGATTAACTTGGAACCTTAACACTGAACTGCCTCAGTAGAGCAAAGGGTTGAGAATAACAATGGTTTAGTAAACATTTCCTCATCATTTGTTGTTCTGCAGGACCCATCAGACTTCTCACTTCTTTGGTAAAAAGAAACAAATCCACAATGATGGAGAGGTGTCTGTGCAAGATCATTTATCTCCGATGACGCCAACAGGAAAGACAGGTACAAATATGGTGACTGGATTTTAAACGGCTCGATGTTTTTAAAGGCTTTAACAGGAGAAATGTCTTTTGGTTATGTTTTTTTTTTTTTTTTAATCCCTTCATTAGGATTCCTGACAGCTAAATGTTTGGCTGCAGGTGCTCGACCTCTTGTTCAAATGCACAGAAAAACAACTCAAGTTTCACTGTTTGGGTTGAATATTTTAATTCGCATTTATGGAGGACCAGTAAAGTCACCGAACAAAGATTAAAACCATTTAAATCCTAAAATATTTATCATAAAATTAGAAATCTATAATTAAACTGTTTTATAGTTGCACATTTTCAAGTAAAATATTATAGAAAATGTGTAAAGTGTATGTATTAAACTGTTATAAAACATCTTTTCTTTTCAAACCTTATTTCTAATTAGAGATTTAAGAGCCACAAATCATAAATCGAATTATAAATAATCCTCCTTATTACTCATTTCAAATGGTAATTCTAATCTCTACTTCATCTAGCACATTTCAATTATTTTTGCACTTGCATTATTCTTTTTTTCTTTTTCACATTGTGTTTTTGTGATGAAGAAACATCTTATTAATTAAGATTAAGTTAGAGGTGATTAAATGGTACCCACACATTCTCTTAAAGGTTTCCCTTTCCCATTTGGTCTTTGTGTGACCATTGTTGCCTAAATCGTTAACGAGCTGTTAATAAATTTTTTACAAATGGTTAATAGGCTGTTACTTAGCTGCTAAAAAGTGTTCCTAAACTATTAATAAGCTGTTGCTTAATCATTAATAAGCTTTTACTAAACTAATTATGAACTCAATCCAAACTTGATAGGTTGAGACAATTCTATTATTTGATGAAAACTAAGCGGTTAAATAGCTGATGGGTCATGGAAATTATAAATGGAGCAAGTGAAGTTAAAAAATGAAACAGTGAAAAAGAAAATGGAAACGGAGAAGGGAATGACCTCTTAAATCTTTGATAAAATGATATTCATGATCTGTGATGGAATTTCAAGGTACCTTTTTTAAATGTTAGGACAGTTTGAAATTCCTCTTTTATAATCTAATTTAAAATGTGCAATTTTTAAGTTGTTTTTATTTTTTACGAATTCTCCTGGCCCCCCAAATACTTTCTTATATATAATTCTTTGTATAATTTCTTTTTCACATTCATGTAATTTTTAAAGGAGAATCAGCATATTTGGTGAAGGTCAAGGGAGCAAAAACTCTGCTGGTCTCTGCCTATTTGGAGCATCGCACAGCGGTAAAAGAAGTAAGAAAATTTGTCAGATGTTTCAATTTCTCACACCTTCTAACATTAGAGACACATTCTGAAAATGTTGTGTCGATACTAGTGGAAGTAGTGAGACAGGAAATGGATTGATAGAGAAAGAGGTGGGAAGTCATGCAGCAACAGGAAATGACTGACAGCCATGTTGACGACCAACACCTGTTCTGAAAAGATTTGCATGTTTTCTAAGCTAAAGCGAGGCTTTGAGTTTGGTCCACTCTGTAAAGCCTCAAACTCAACGCTATTTCTGACATTTTGCATTGAAAAAGCTTCCTGATTGGGAAGGGAAATGTCTTCAAACTGGGAAACAAAGTCCAATGGATTTTTTTTAAACATTCTTGGATTTTAATGTATTATAAATTACACAGCACATGAATTTTACAAAGGGTTGTGATGGTAGATAAGTGTGAACAGACCTGTAGATCAGATGTCATTTAGCAAGCCCTACACTTTTAAAACCTGTTAGGAAACCAAATTAAACACATTTTTTTTCTTTTGTAAAGACGCATATTTTCAAGAACTTACAGAGTATTTTGTCATTTGTAAAGTCGTGTTTTTCTCAATCCTTTTACAATGAAATAACATTAGTGACAGAAGATAGAAGATCTTTTTAGATCTTTTTTTTTCATTATTTTTTGTCAATATTCAGTAAAAAGAAGAAATTAGTTTACTTTTCTGGCATATCAGGCATTTCAGGAATATTAAGGGAAACCATAAATCTTTAATTTTCAAACTGGTAATGTACCAATGGAAATTATTTTTACGAACAAGTTGTGCTTGGAAAAGTATTTATGGTATAATCTTAAAATATATTGTTCCTTCTGTAAACATGGTCTGCTGATAACATTACGTTAAGTTCATGACTAAATATAGATATCTTTTAATATAAATGCTTCATTTAGGTCCACTTCAAAACCTTTTTTCTCTCTCTTGACCCTTTTTTTTTATTTTTTCTTTATGTTTAACAAGCACTGATCCAAGGGCATTTAGATTGGGTTGGTAGTTTTTAGATATAGTCATGGTTGTTTAAAAATATTTAGGGAATTTTAATATAAAGTATTTATTTTTCAGTTTTATTTCATGTGTTTCAGTACCACTTACTGTATCTACACTGTAAAAACGACAACTCAAAATTGTTCACCTTACTAAGATTTTTGCATTCACTGACAATAAAATTGCCAGTTGGAACTTGAACTGTCTGTTGTGAGCCAGTTGAACTCACTTTCATAAGTTTCTGATGAAAAGTTCATCTTATTCAATAAATTAAGTTGAGTTTACTTAGAAGTTGTAGTTGACACCCAGTCCGAGCGAGGTCAACTTATCTGCGCATGCTCATTTCAAATTTGTCATGGCAACCGGCTGCTACAGGGTTTCCATGGATTTTCCCAGGAGCTCCCTTCTAAAGTTTGGTTCAGCCATCTGGTCACTCGTCCAAGAGAAGACTAAGGCACTAGTTTCCTGTCATCTCTGGCAATATTGCATTATTTGTAAGGTTTTAACAGGAGTTGGAAAGTAAAAAAAATATGTGCTGAAACCTGATTTGCTTTAAGCATAAGATTACTTGTTTACACTGTGAAATTGTAAACCTGTTTTTGCCAAAGTGGTTCAAATAAAAATGCAAAATTTAACTGGGTTACTGTTAGGGCTGCTCGGTGGCGCAGTGGGTAGCACTGCTGCCTTGCAGCAAGAAGGTTCTGGGTTCGATTCCTGGCCTGGGGTTTTTCTGCATGGAGTTTGCATGTTCTCCCTGAGCATGTGTGGGTTCTCTCTGGGTACTCTGGCCTCGTCCAAAAACATGACTGTTAGGTTGATTGGCTTCTCTAAATTGTTGAGTGTGTGCATGAATGGTTGTTAGTCCTGTGTGTCTGGTGACCTGTCCAGGGTGGACCCTGCCCCACTTGGGACAAGCGTGTAAGAAAATGGATGGATGGTTTACTGTCAGTGGATGATTTAATGGGGGGGGACTGAACTCAAAAATGTAAGTTATTACAGGGGATGGTAATCTGTATTTAAAACATTTTACAGATAATCTGAACTTAAAATAATAAGTTTTTACAGACTTGAAAGTTCCAGTAACTTGAATTAAAAAAACTTAGTTGGCAGAACTTGAAAAGCTTAGCTGACACAACTTAATAAGTGTAGTTCTACAAAACTTAAAAAATTAAGTTGATGCCTTCAACTCAAAAATTCTGTGCAGCCGGTTGCCTTGAAATTTTGAGTTGAACTAACTTTTTCGTTTTTGCAGTGTAAAGCAAATTTATAATTTTGCACATTTTAATTATATTAGCCAGAATATAAATTCTTTTATTAATGGACTTATTTATCAAACATATTAATGTTCACCTTTTGTTAAATTCAACAGGTGTGCCAATACTTAAGGCTAGCAATCATCAGGAGCAGAAACATTTCTTGTTTTCTGTGTGTTGCAAAAACAAAAATGGCAAAACCTTTTTGCATTATTTCAAAGACACATACAGTAAGAGAAACTAAGGAAGATTCTGCGAGTCCTTGATCTTGAGTAGAATTATTAATAACTCATTGTGGACATGCTATGTTGCAGAATATTTCACAGAGTAGTGTAGAGCAGTATAAAAATCTGCTTTGTTTGGTGATATTCAAGTCGTAGGGAAGTCATATTTGACTGTCAAATCATCACACACAGTTGCTTGTGACATTTCATGGGCATCACGTTGCCGTGCGTTATGCATACGTTAGGCTGTCGGACATAAGTTCTGGACTCGTTATGAATACATAGAAAGTTCCGGGTATGCCAGCGTTTTAGAAGACTCTAGGACGTCAGGCGTACGCTGGTATAAATCGTCAAGGTGTGATAGGGTCTTTAGGTAAAAAATTTCCCAGCAGTGATCAATAGTCTTATAAAAATTTAAGAAAAAATTAGCTTGTTTCTTGGTGTAAAACAAAATTAATAATTTGTTTTACAAAAAGAACTTATCAGCAAATATCCATAGTCTCAAAATCTGGTTTCCAGGCCTCAGAACAGCTTAATTCGCATTCACAAAGTTATAAAGGTTTATGGCCTTAACACTTTTTAAATCTACACCCAGTACACCCAAATTGCTTAAACGCTCATCAGTCATGGTGCTTCAAAGAAACGCAGATGCAATTTTGCTTAACAGCACATTAAGCAAAATTGCATTGCAATACAATGAAGCTCTCATGATGTATGGCATGACAAAGTAGGCTATGCTAATTGGTGGTTGAAGGATTAGGGATCGCACACATGCATGCATTCACTGGCTCATCAGTGCATTCAGCAGCCGTGCCTTGAGCTCACGTAACATGCATGCATTCCTGCTTCCTCCATTTGTCCATCATTGCTAATCCTTTATTTGTTAGTAAATTTTTCTCATTCATCTTGAAATATTTCAATGTTTGTCTCTGCTTCAACTCTGTTGGAAAGCCAAACCCCTGGAAGTTGGACTAAAACATTTCAGTCCATCCCTCTGTGGTTTGTGTCTTGGAGCAAAGAAGAAGCACAGATATTTCTGACATGTTCAGACTCCTTTTTATGCACCACTAATGGTTCTTCTTGTAATGCCAGGTTCGTGTCATTGTAATCACGCCTCGGAGCGAGCAGGCGGTCTTTAACTGCCACCTAGACTGCCAAAGACAGCTCTACATATCTAAAAATGTCATCAAGCCCAACAAGGACTTCTTTGGCTATCTATACGGGACGGCAGACATCATGTGTCCCCTTCCTCCAGGCTGTGAAACACCAGTTCATGTGGCCATCACCCTGAATGGCTCTAAAAGTGAAGGTACAAGATGTGCTAAACGTAATGGTTCAGAGATGACCACTTTCTCTGCTTTTAGGTGATGTACATAGTTGCTGTTCAATTTAAGATGAGTTGGGGTTCAGAAATAGTTTCATTAGATAGTCCCAGTTGCAGATGAAATAAAATGCATAATAGATGTGTTATCAATTTCTTTTTAAATTCAGTTTATATATATAACGCTAATTCACAGCATTGCCTTTTTCTGTTTTAACCTGCTCCTGAGCAAAAACTAAATACCTGTTTGATATGTGTGCTAGAAAACTTATGTCACTCTACAAAAACACAAACTAAGCTTTCATTTGTGTTACCTGGATTTACAAAGCAAGTACCTTAACACTAAGAGCAAAAAAAAAAAATACTCTTACGAATACATAAAATGACCAAAGCCCACCTTCCTCCGACAGATGGAAATAATAATTCACTTGCTATATTTATATTTTAGTATCTAAATCTCTGTAATTTGATTTTGTATTGATTGGATTTTAGTTTATTTTCTGCGCAGGTTAATGTTGATTGTTAATTCTGCCTCTTTTTTAACTTTATTGAGTGGCTAGTCTTCAGAAGTTCCTTTTGTTTCTTCTTTTATCTTTAGATCATGAATTCCTGCAGGTTAAGAACCAAAAGGAAGAGACCAAGTTATTTCCTTACAACTTCACCGTGTGTTTCTCTGTCATGTTTGATTTCACAAACGTTCTGCAGGTAAAATTTTATTGAGTGCTCTTGCTTCTATATCGCTTATCAAAAGCTGATGAAAAAGAACTAAAATGTCAAGTATTGTTTCTGGAATAAAATGCTACAGGGCTAACTGATTATTCAAAAAGCATAGAGGAGACCATAAGAATTATTATCTTATAAACGGGTCTGAATTTTCTGAGAACAAGCAACCTATTGAAGAACAGCCTGCCTGGCTTTGGTTACATAGGGATTAAGTAGTTTTCTGTAAAAGTTTAAAAAACAATCCACTGGACTTGGCTTCCAAGGTTTGAAGACGTTTCTCCACCTCTCCAGGAAGCTTTCTCAATTCAAATGTCTGGATCCGCAGTGAGTTTGAGTCTTTTATAGACAACGCCTTGTATCACTTGGAAACATGGAAATTGAAACCGACGAGCAGGTCGTTTGTTTCCATTGTTCGCCTGTAATATCTGAAACCTGTCTATGATTCTGAAGGTCTATGATTCTTCATCAGCATTAAGGAGCTTTGTAAGCACCTTATGCTCCCACAGCATCACTCATAAAATGCATTCTCCAGAATCACAGTGTATGTGGGAAGAACAACTTCACTGCTATAACAAGCAGTTGCAGGATGATAAATATGTATTTCCTGGTTCCAGGGCCAGAATGAAGGCCACACTAATCCATACTGGATCTGGGGTCTATTTCATGAAGCAAGTTTAACAAACTCAGATTCTAATCCGCAACTATAAATTGATCTAGCCAATGTTATTAATCACCAACCAAATAAATCTATCTTTGTTCATTCGGATGCTGCTAAAAGAAGAGTGGATCCAGCCTGAGTGATAAATTGTTCACTGTGTAAAATAAACACAAATGACTGCCAGTTAAAATACAATGGTGCCATCATTAGCTGCAATCAAACATTATTACATCTTATAACTAAGCAAACACTTGACACTACTGAAAATAAGCAAAAATAGAGAAATAGGGGAAGAGTTGTTTAAAAGTCAGTTCAAAGTATGAGGGATGTTCGAAGTTTAAGGCTTTAAACATTTGAAAGTGTTCTTTAAAAATAGCAGATAAAATGTGAATAAACCCTGAAACAGAGATCTTAATTGCAGTCAAAACTGCAGTCTATGGTGAAGAATGAATAATGGCTCAGGAATGCATTAAACTACGATGAGGCTGAAAGAACCGTTAGCCTAGCTGGCTTCCGCGGTTGTGGTTCTGGTCTGGTCCAACTGAAACAAAGAGAGGGTTAGCTCAGGATGTAGCCTCTATAAAGTGTTCAGCATGTGTTCATCCTGAGCTATCTCTATAGTTCTGCTGCTATAGGCTTAGACTGCTGGAGGACATAGGGACCCCCATTTCATCATTCTGCTTCATTCTCTCTCTGTTCTCCTATTCTGCAGAATCTGTTAGTTCAATCTCTAACCTTCTGCTCTCTCTGCTTTTCCTCAGAGTAGCTTTGCCTCGTCTGTTCCTGTTTGGCTGTGACGTCATCCTGGAAAGAAACATCAGCTGTGCTGCTTCCATCAACACCCTTGTTTGTAGATGTTGGAGATCGGCCTGTTTTCCAGTGTGGTCCTGTTTCTCTGACCGTGACTGAGTGGATGTGCTCTCTTCGTCCTCTGGCATGGGAGCTGCCTTGGAGCTCGTCTGCCTGGCTGTGTGTTTCCTGGACGGGGCCGCCTTTTACAGCTGCTTTTTGTATCTCTGCTTCTGTCTCCTTGAACCCCAGTCGGCCTCGGCAGATGGCCGCTCACACTGAGCCTGGTTCTGCTGGAGGTTTCTTCCTGTTAAAAGGGAGTTTTTCCTCTCCACTGTCGCTACAAGCATGCTTAGTGTGGGGGATTGTATTTGAGTCAATGAGTCAATGCAATCAACTGGTTTTCCTTAGATAGAAAACTTTGTATCAATTTGACTGTATGATCTGGTTGAACTGTAAAGTGCCTTGAGATGACATGTGTTGTGAATTTGGCGCTATATAATTAAACTGAATTGAATTGAATTGAATTGAATTGTTCAGCAGTTCACTCTAGCAGTTAGCTTCAGCAACATGTGACTCGTTCAGTCTATGTAGTGAGCATTAGCATTCAGTTAAAATCTTAAAACCATCAGGAATTGAATCAGAAAGCTTATTGCAAATAAAACTCAAACACAACTATCTATTCTACCTTTAGTTCACCCAAACAGAGCACTTATTAAGCATCAGAGGAAAAGGGTTGGTACTGTTTTGGTTCGGTGGACTGAAGGCCTTCGGCACGGTCCGGTTCTCTGCAGGCCCAATCCTCTGTCCTGTCCGTTTGTCCAACAGCAGCTCAAAAAGATTTGGATCACTTCAATGCAATAACAAGAGGCGATTTTGCAAGAGGGTTGATTTTATAACTCACGGTAGGAAGGGACGTCTCTCTTTTAGCTACGGTGGTAAGCTTGTAGCCGCAGTCTCCAGCAGCTCCTGGATGCTGCTCTATCTCTCAGTCTCATGCAGTCACGATCTGGCGGCTTCTAACGGCTCCTTCGACGAACAGCAATTGGGGGCCCCTTTGTTCTGCAGTTAGTTTCAGCTTAGCAGAGCTGGATTAACTCATCTCTGTCTCTGCTACAGCAGGCTTTAGGGAACACTGTGTTCAGCTCTTTCTGGATCTCAGGAAAAAGGCAGTCTGACTCGGTGCAGACTTGTCCGGAGGTGTTTTGGTTGCTTCTTAGTGTAGCCTTCAGCTGGAAGCCTTTACCGGCACAGAGCCATCTGCAAAATAGAGGCCGTTTCCCAATATGTGTACTTGTGTGTTCTCATGTGCTCGTAAAACGTCTTCAGCCTCAGCCCTAGTACTGTTCCAATTCACAAGAACAGCAGACCGAAAACGGTCCCCGGATGTTGTTCTCACCCCTCCCTATTTACCGAGTATGCATCAAAGCTGACTTGTCCGTTCTTGAGATTGACAGCTGTCCAAGCTTGCACTGCGGCAGCAGCAGCTTTCAATGGACCGCTCCATTGAAAGTTAAAAATTCTCCTTTCTGTTGCTGTTGTTCAAAAGTACGTTTTAAGATCATTTGACGCGAGAATGTTATACTTTAAAGCGTCACTATATGGTCCATTTAGCGCTTTAATGCGTAATTAAAAAAAAATGATTCCAAAGTTCCGAGGACCTACGAGGCTAACGGCAGCCCGTCTGCTGCAGCCCTCTTTCTGCATAGCCCTGTGTGAAGGATCGCTGGCTCTGATGGCAAGTTTTTTGTTTTATTTGGCAAAATGTTCATTTGATTTGAGTTTATCTGACTGTGTTCATTATTATTCCCCCACTAAATGAAAAAGGAATAATTTATTATTATCAAGAGACTATTAATAAGAGGAGGTGAAATGCAGCTCCAGACGAGCCGGGTATGTGGTGATGTCACGAGTACGCTTCTGTTTTTCTAAACCTGAAATATGGTACATTGAATTTGCAATTTCATAAAGAGAGCTTCCTCAACCTCTGTTTCAGTCACTGTAGTATCATTCTCCCCAGAGTTAACCTGGTCAGCAGCAGGTTTTCTACAGTCACCTCAGAGTGTCCTCTGTCTCAGCTCTCCTAAAAGCCAATCCACATTGTTTTATTTTCTGATTTAGCCAGAGTTTTGCTGCAGTTTTGTGCATTAAAAAAAAATCATTAACTAGGTCCATTAGGTCTGGCACATTATCTTTAAGAACAATAAAGATAAAATGATTGCATAGATTTTTACTAAAGCTTTTAGTAAAACAATATCAACTCTTAGGTGTTTTACATGATTGAAAGCTGTCTACTCTACCAATAAATATCAAGAACCCAAAAGCCCAGAGGCTTTCTGGCATCCATATTTTTTCCAGTGTAGAACCTGAAAGCCTCCCCTGTGTTGCAGCTGGTGCAGAGTTTGGAGATGCTTCAGTTACTGGGAGTAAACAGGGTTGTCGTTTACAAAACAAACTGCAGCCAGGAGACTCAGCGTGTGCTGGAATACTACGCTAGCAAAGGTTGGTATTAGACTTTTTAATTTGCATTAACGGCCTGATTTTACTTACTTTGACCAAATAGTTTTTCCCAAATTGTCGGTTAAATTTCTGGAGCAGGTTCTTGTAATAAAACTTACATAAAGCTGCCTGTATTGATTGTTTTGATATTCAGCTTTTAATTCTTATTTTGTAAAGCTAGGTGCTAT